GGCAGAGTTGCAAACAACAAGTGGTAGCGAGAGGCTGAGTACTCGGACGAGGACGAGAGTCTGCTGACCCTCCCCACTCACCCCTGCATGAGTCAACAGGCCCAGCTGGGAGAGTCCTTTTGCAAGGGGACACAGCCGACCTTCCCAAGCAAGAGGCCAGTGCTTGGCTGGGAGGACAGTCACAATGGTGCTATTGGCACAGGGTTACAAGAATATCAAGATACAATGTCTGGAAGAAAAATTTAAAAAAACCTGGACCCTTGATTTGTGACCCAAGGGATGTTTCAGGGCAGTTGAAGAATACAGTCAATAAATAGCCCTTCGTCAGTCAGATGTCTGTAAGGGAAGAATAAAATCCTAGCCCTCACACACGCAGTCCTTGACCAACTATGTAACAGTCCTCATGGCTTTGGAATAAGCAAAGATTTCTTAAGCACATTCATAAAAATCCAACAGATAAGATGAAAGATAAATTAAGCTATGAAAATGGAGTACTTCCATCCATCAAAAGATACCATGACAGGGTAAATTACAGAGCAGGAGAAGTTTGCAGAACCTGTGTCCTGGGAATAAAAAGGGTCTGTATCTATAATATATCAAGAACTCATGTAGATTAGAAGAACAGCAACCCAAGAGAAAAATGGGCCAAAGTTTTGAACCTTATAAAAGAGGTTATCTGGGCGGCAGACAAGCCTGAGAAACAGGGTTAACAACATTAGTCATCAGGAAATGACAAAGCCTGGAAGATGAGCGTAGGTATAGGCCAGACTGTGGAACCACCCCAGGTCTGGTAGACCACCTACTGACAGAAGCTGAACTTCATCCACAGTCTCCAGCTCAGGTATGTGAGCCCCATGACACTAATTTACCTCCAAGACACATACACATCCAAAATACACAAAACCAGTTCCAGAGGTACTACCCGTAACAGCTTCAAAGTGAAAATGGCCCCAACTAGTCATTAGTAAAGCAGATTAATAGGCCATAAACCCTGACCATCAGTGGAGACAGATCAGCTCCTGGTACCCCATAGCCCAACAGAATCTCACAGAACAATACTGGAATCACACACAAATGAGGGCATGAAGTTTCTTTTAAAATGAGGCAAAACAAAGGCCTGTGTGAGAAACCAGAGAAGCTCCAGACAAGGCTGGGGTGGCAACCCCAAGTGGTAGGAGAATGAGTGGCCAGTGAATAGTGAACTACATGGAGCTGCTTTATGCTTCTATGTATTACCTTATAGTCAATGTTTCATCAAAATTGAGGCTACAAACTTATACCACAGGGCTGGGGAAACGACTCGGAAAGAAAACTACTTGCTGTACAAGCATGAGGACCTGAGTTCGGATCCCCAACACTCTCAAAAAAAAGTCACTTGTAGACTGAACCCCCTATTTCAACATGAAAAGATGGATCAGTGGGTAAAGGTGCTTGCTGCCAAGCTTGAGTTCAATCCCTGGGACATGCATAGTAGAAAGAAAGAACCAACTACCACAACTATCTTCTGACTAAAGCAAGCAAAGCAGCCAGCCAGGTGTGGCAAAAGTTAATCCTGTAATCCCAGAACTGGGAGACAGAAGCAGGAGGATCCCTGAAGCTCACTAGCCAGCCAGTTTAGTCAACTGGTGAGCTCCAGATGTGATGAGACCCTATCTCAACAACAGGGAAACTAATAGGGTGGAAGGTAGTAGAAGAAACATCTATCTACTTCTGTCCCGCACACATGCATGCACAGGTACACACACATGCATGCACAGCATCCCCATTCAGGCCACAGCACAGGTCTCTGGGGCTCTGGAAGGTGAGTCCTCACAAATCGCATGCTCGAATGTGTTTCTTTACTCTGGGCCATGTCTAAAAAGAGCAGAGGTGAAGGGTCAGTGCGTGGGAGTCAAGGCACCCTCCTCTCAATTCTGACGAGGAACAGCAGACAACAACCAGACTATCTCAGGCTTCAGAGGCGGAAGAGAGAGGTGTGCCGTGCCTGGTGTGAGGGGAACACCCTTGCCAGTGTACCAAGGGACAGCAGGTTGCAATTTAAGGTAGAAACCCTATTTCAACATGAAATTCCACAATTTCTAAATGTTAGAAACTTAAAAGTAAGTGACTAAATAACCAAGTTACTAAGCTCAGTCATCCTTGTGCCCAACCCTAGAGGACCAATATAAGCCACATCCTTGGCAGGCACACAGCTTTCTCCATCATTACCTCAGTCAGTACTCTGAGGTGGAGCTTCTCTCTCTTCAGAGGGAAATAAGTTTGTTCTGTTTGTGGTGCTGGGTTGAACATACGAGCTCGCACGTGTAAGGCAAGCCCCCTACCACTGAGCTAATGCCCAGCTGGGGAGGTCCATACTTCTCACCTGTAAACAGAGCTGATACAGCAGCCTCCTGGGGTTAACATAAGCCTGTGTCATTATTCAGTAAACAAGGATAGTATCAAAGATGACTGAAATGCGGCTGCCCTGAACCTGGACCAGGGCCTATGATGGCCTCATCTTACAATGAGGAAACATAGGGTCAGGGAGGAGATGTCCCCACAGGCTCCTGCCTGACGAGTCACTGAGAAGAATGTCAACCCTGCCCAACTTAAGCCACAGGTCACAACCCCTATGCTATGTTATAGGGGAGGGGGCTCATATCTACCCAATCCTCCTCTCTGGATTTCACGTTTCTCATTCTGTCCCAGAGGGCTGCTCCCATGGCTCTCCAACTTGATCTCAGCTGATAAACCACCAGCCCTCCTCCCTTGGGAGACTTTTAATCACTCCCTGCAAGGAAAAAGGCTTTAATCAGCTAAGGCCGGTCTAGCAGCCAGTGAATGGTTAATGAAGGCAGCCACAGAGATGACAATGAAGCCTTGGCAGCCACCCAGGGCTAAGCCAGTCGGCTCTGTCCCTGCTTCTAATCTGTGCATCCAAGTCAGCAGACAGCAGCAGAGCAGAGCCTGTGCCCCCACTTCCAGGGTACAGAGGGAAAACGAAGCTGAGGCAGGTGGGACTGGGGGCTGAGGACGTTACAAAGGCATCAGGGCTTTCCTGGTATGAGAGTCAAGAAACAAGAGACAAAAATTCTAGTCTGTGAGGCAACAGGAAGAGCTAATCTCCCTGTGTGGCCAAAAGGTCAGAACTTCAGGGAGGATGAGGTGAGGGAAACGGGGAGTTCAGGGTGCTGGGGGAGGAAGAGTCACTCATCCGAGCAACACAAGTCAGTGCTTCCAATGAAGCTGTCGGCGCATCCTGCCAGCCACCCTCACAGACCATGTTCTCCGGGTGCTGAGGCTCAGAGAGAGTGCCCACAAGGTCACGATCGATCGCCCAAACACAGCTTGCCTCTGTGACCAGCAGCTGACCTCACCCACTGGAAGCAATCAAGGGCCCCATGGATTAAGGTAACAATCTATCCACCAAGTCATGAAAACAAAGAGAAAAGGAGGCAAACACGGGGGACTCTGGGAAAACCTTAACCAACAGCCCAAACACTGACTCGGCCCACCTGTAGGCTTAGGATGCACCCCAGGAAAGCTTCAGAGAGCACACTCTAAACCACTGTCACCAATATCGAGGTGGGCAAGGCAGCTGGGGAAGCTGACTGAAAGACAGAGGCCTTTGGCCCAGAATTTCTTAGGATTAGCCCCCCTTCTTTTTTTTTTTTTTTTTTTTTTTTTTGTTGTTGTTGTTGTTGTTGTTGTTGTTGTTGTTGGCGGCGGCGGCGGCAGCGGTGGTGGTGGTGGTTTGGTTTGGGTTTGTTTTGGTTTTTGAGACAAGGTCTCACACAGCCCAGGCTGGCCTCAAACTTCTTATTCTTATGCCTCCATCTCCCTAGTGCTGGAATTGTAAGTATGTACCACCATGCCTGGCTCCTTTGCTGGCTTAAAGGAGACCTGAGACCACTAAAGACAATTGAGTGTGAAACTCAGCAGTGAAAGCAACCGCCCCCAGGCCGGGTCTCTTGCTCCATCCACAGAACCATGTTCATTTCTAGAAATGAGCGACTAGATAAACAGGCATCAAAGGTTTGCTGAAGAGCTGAGAAAAAATAAGGAAGGCCTCGAGCTAGGTGGTGTGGTGCTCACCTGTTCCCCTGACACGGAGGAGGCTGGGGCAGGAGGATTGCAAGCTCAAGGTCAAAGGCTGAAAGTACAAGAGCAGGCAGCCCCACTTGCTCAGCCTCTGCTGAGGCAAAGGCGTCTGACAAGGCTGTGTGGGCAAGGTACACAGAAGACCCCTGTCTCAAAGAAGAGAGAAGTTAGCCGGATTTCCAGATACCCTCACCACACACCTGCTCTGCCTTCCTGGTGTAAGGAGGGCTAGTGGGAAAAGGATGCGTCTTCCTCAGCATTAGCATGAGGACAAGGTAGAGTCAGGAACTGGGGGTGGCAACCACAGGAAGGTTCTCAAAAACTCTGCCTTTGAAATGTGAAGGATGGAGAGACACCTAGACATCTCTGTATGACACAATTTATTTCCAAGGTCATAGCCAGAGCACCCACCTTGCAGGCTTCTTCACCCATACAGTGGGAGCAGTAAAGGCCTATGCTACTTCTGGGAACTGGAAGGAGTTAGTGTACATCCAAGATTATCAGAGGGGAGGGTCCCACTAAGCACCAAGTGTCCCCTATTCTCAGGGACAGTACTTTACAACACTGAAATGGGTAACAGCAGAACTCTGAGCTCTGAAGACATTTAATCACGTAGTGCCATGCTATCCTCATGCATCAAATTAAAACAAATTATTAATTTCCCGATAATTGCTACACCACATTGGTAGAATAAGCACTGTGGCTATAGACAACCAAACCCAGAGGAGCTGGTGACATGTGGCTCTGAGAATCACATACAAAAGATGACCTCATTTAAATTAAGGGGTCAGACAGCACTGGTTTTGCTTCTGTTTTTCACTCCATGGATTTCTGGGCACACAAGCACAGGCCCAGGCCACACCATGAGCCTGCTATGGAAAGACAGACAAGGCAGCAAGGCAGAAGTGGGCGTCAAGTACCTGTCTCAGTTTTGCTGGCAAAGCCTGCCGCCTGCTTGATGGCTGCAGCCGTGAGCGCTAATCCTCGGCTCCTCTTCATGCCATGCTGAAGGACAGCTTCAAACTGGGCACACAGACAGGTCACCCTGCAGGAGAAGCAGGGACTCATCAGTCCACCTGGGAAGTGGCAGCGGCAGAGTGGGCTCCAGTACTGCAGGTGGGCCGCCAGGAGACACCTGGATTTGCAGACTCGGGAAGCTGCAAAAGCCCCCCACCTCCCCACTTTTGTTTGATTCAAGTCAGGGATGCCCCTCAGGGGCATCCTGAAGAACAGGGGGAAGGGTGCCAACCAGTAGGTGATGCAAAGTCAATTTAAAAACAAATCAGTCCTGTGGGAACTGCATTCAATTCACAAGTCTCAACTCTTCATTCACATCACAGAGTTTACAAAGCACAAAGCAAGATGACATTTTCAGAGGCTGAATCCAACAGCCTACCAAACCAGAAACACTATAATTTCATGGCCTGTTACTTACTGTCATGTGAATTCTTATTTTTGTTTCTTATTGTATTATAAGAGATTACATCGTGAACTCCTCTCTAGAGTTGACAAAATTTTCAATTAAATTACAGTTGCTGTGCATTTAATTGAATTTCTCAATAACTGAAAAAATGGGAGATTCAGAACATGCCTGAGGAGAGATGAAGTCAGGGCAACCACACTGGATTCTAGGGTCCTCCCTAGGTTCTTGGGCGTCTGGTTCTTGGCCCATGCCTTCTGAGTCCTTCCACTCATAGCCAGTGTATAGCTACTATGTGCCAGGCATTGTTCTGGGCTCTGGGAATATAAAAGGTGGGAAAAAAGGTGAGACACAGGGGCCCAAGCCTTTAATTCCAGCTCTCAGGAGGCAGAGGCAGTTGGATCTCTGTGAGTTCAATGTCAACCTGGTCTACACAGCAAACTTTAGGCCAGACAAGATTACTTAGTGAAACCTGCCTCAAAACTAGAGAGAAAGACAGAGAGAAGGATTGACTTAAGAGGAAGAAAAAAAGAAATGAAACAAAAAGAAAGAAAAGGGCAGGAGAGACAGAAGGGCCCACCTCAAAGCCTCTGCACTGCTCTGAGGAGAAAAGTAAGGCCAGAGATCACACGAAACATTTCAGTTCCTCAGAACTTGGAAGAAATTAGACCAGGGTGGCATGGGGAGGGGAAATAGGCATGGCCAGGCCAATATTCTGTGACCAGATGGCAGTAGCCTTGGAGTTATGACCTCAATATGACAAAAAGGCAGCAAATCAGACAGAGGGATCAACTTTGCTAACTTCAAGGCTATCTGCTCCACCCATCACCACTTCTGGCACAGTCCTGCTCCAGGGGGCTGCCACTATGTAGGTGGTGAAACATTTTCACACCTTGTCTCTCCAAGACCGCGCTGTAGCCAGCAGAGCCTGGTCCAGTATGTGCTCCACACCTGCTTCTCCAGTGCTTACAGAGCACAGGTCTCAGGATCCACCCACAATGGGGCAGCTGCCACTCCTACACATTAGCCAAGTGTCTGCCACTCCTCTATTCCAAGCAGGCATGTAAGTATTTGAGGGCTTCCTGAAAGCTGGGACAGACACAAAATTACCTGAAATACACAGAAACCAAAATTGGAGCCAGACCAGGGCCCCATCTTTGGAAAAACAACTCTAGAGTATGTTGAGGTTTCTCTGTAATTAACTGAGGCCTCCAGCTTAAAACGAATCTCTGCAAACTCAACCATCCGTTTAACAATCCCTGGCAGTTTGCTTGGTTCCAAGGCATAGGTCAGCAACTGCCTAGCCAGCTCCAGATAAAACAAGGCCCCTCAGGGGAATGGAATGCAGGCAAGCAGCAAGCCTGTGTTTGGAGGGTCCAGTTTCATCAGCAGCCTGGCCTCCCGAACACACACAGGTCAGGACTATGCTAACAAAAGAAACACCCAGGTTAGTGCTACTCCTGTAATGACTTATCACAACACCAAGTCTGAGCCCATTCCATGTCAAGACCCTCTAGGTCCCTGTGGACCTCTCCATTTGACCTAGGCATGTGTCTACTTGTGATCTAGTACTCAACTGTCCACACTTCCCCCAAGAAGCCTTCCTGAATGCTTTCATCCTGAGCTCCTTTCTAAGGCACTCTTAGCAGTTCGTATCTGAGTTCTATGTCTCTCCTGCTGACTGAGCGCTGCCCGGACACTGTGGACAATGTTATCCAAATGGTCCTTCACCTTGGGCATGGAGAGCACAGACTTGATATACAGTTCAGTTAGAGACACATCTCAGGGAGCTATCACAGCTTGTAACTCAAGTTCCTAGCACTAGGGAGTCAGAGAAGAGACACCTGCATACACAGGAGTCTACCCTTTAGCTGGTGTGGGCACACAGAGAGACTCCTACACAACCATGTTGGGGAAGGCTTTCCACTGTTTCCTGCCTTTGCTTGTACAGTGCTAATTCCTATAAGATCAAAGAAGCACCTGCTTTTATCCATACTACATTTTCTTAGCTGAATCTGTATTTCCCAGAATTCTCTCTGACAAATGTTCTTTATCTTCACAGTTAAAGATAGACTGCCTCAATGGCATTGTATCACATGCAACTTACATTCCAAATTAATGAGTT